TTGGGGTGCCCAAATTTATGCACCTGCCTACTTTTGTTTAAGTAATTATTGCACACTTTCTGTAAATCCTATAAACTTCATTTCACTTCTTAAATATCACTGTGTTTGTTTGCTATATGATATATTTAATTGAAATTGCTGTTCCGAACAACCAATGATCCATAAAGGAAAATCTTGAAAATGATCAGGGGTGCCCAAACTTTTTCATACCACTGTATACGTATACACGTGTATATATACACGTATATCTAAGTTGCAGGTGTGTGTTGATCTCAGATAGGTGATGTGTCTTTATCCGAGTATCCAGAGGAGGAGGAAGACATAGACAGTCCAGCCACAGAGAGAGGTACCTGGATCCCCCAGACCCCCCGTGCAAGTCTTTTCTCTCCTACAGGAGATGACTGGCATGAAAGTCCACGCAAACGGACCCAGACCCTCCCCACCTTCACCTGCCCTCTCATCGGGATGCCGGCGAAAGCTGATGCCATCAGTCGGTGGAGTCACATCCAGGAATGCTCAGAAGAGAAAAGTGGAGGGACACTGTCGGAGGACATTTTTAAGATCCTCGACCTCAAGGACTCAGGAGGGTCGTTGTTTGGTGGGACACATGTCAGTAACAAAAAGGAGCAGGTGTCTACATCCCGCAGAGGAAGTGAGGACACAGGTTCTTCAATAACAAGCCCTCAAAAGACTGTGGGTGAATCCCAGCATTGTCCGTTGACATCCAGTCAGAAGAGCGTAGAGAAAGTAAAGCGTTCCGATCAGCAAGTCAACAGTCAGCCCGAGATGAAACAAGACGACCAGCTCAGCGTAAACAGGTGAGTGCCGTACTTGTTACGTCCCCAGTCTAGGGGAACTGGTACGTAGCACAATTTGTAGCCTCCCTTTCGCTTCTCTTCCCTAAGAATGTGGCCATGTCTAAAGGTTTATAGTTTTAAAGCAGCATTTTATTTTGTGAGAAAGTGAGGAGACAATTTCCAGCCAACAACAAACAAAACTAAGAGGACCCTGCTCTTTCCTCCAACAAACAAAAGAAAACAAATTACAGGGTTTTTAACCTAAGCTCACTATCAAAAGATAAAAGAGACAATGTTTTAAACAAAAACAAGGGCTTCTCACTCCTCTATTTTCCTACTAATTATAAACAATCAAAGGTTACATAAGATAAACCACACAGAGCACACGGCAAGGTGTCAGCAGGCCTTAGCTCAAGGATGATGAAGGGAAAAAGGGGAATAGCTTAGGCGCCAGTCGGTTTAAATGGACGCCATTGACCAATCCACTCACAGGTTCCCTGTCATGTGATCCTGCAAGAAACAAAAGAAACCCACACACCCACATACACTGATAGGAGACATAAAACACAATCGCACGATACATGTCCTCAGACAAGGGTTGTAACATACTATGGAGGTACTTTAAGGCTTTGGCCCACTACTAATGCCAATGGCAGATATCTGGTATCACATTATCCAGAAGAGATATTCGCCAGACGAGCTTTGCTAGTCTGACCTGATGTAAGGTCAGACATATCTCAACTTTGGTTCATGTTTGTGGGTTAGATACTAGACACCATATCAGAAAGCACAAGTCTCCTAAAAGATTAGGGGGCCTCCTGCATATTGACAGGAGTTCCCTGATACCCACAAGTCTAAGAAACTAGTTATATATTAAATGCATTCACAAAAGAACACAAGCATGAGGCAGAGAGAGTGTGCATTCAATGATAGCATGCACACCACAAAAAACTTTTTTTTAATATATATTATAGTTTATATTAACAATACATACATGTTCACAAATCTTCTTTCCCTCTTTTGGGAGGGGTGTGGATTCCTGTACCTCCCAGAATTTTGAATTTGTCATTGAGTATTTTAACTCTGTAATATCAGCGCCCGTCCCTGTATTCTCTCATTTTTCTCTTCTCTTTTTCCCACATACACAAACTCCTGACCGTCCTTATCAAACTCTCCCTCCATCCTTAACCCTGTAAAGCCCAAACCATTAAATAATTGACAGAAAATTCCAATTCTTTGAACTTGGACCCTTTATTGGTCCCTCTGAACAAACAAACAAAAAAATTCAAATATAATTTCCATATCTGAGTTTCAATTTGTATCATATTTGATACATTGGGTCACAATGCTAAAAGATTATTTTTCCTGAACAAACAAAAACACATAAAAAAAACATAATAAAACACAAACAAATCTAACAAATTTGTAATTCCAAATATAAAAATTTTAACATATTATATTATATATATATTATATTTAGATATATATAATATTTAAATATGTATGTATTGGACACTAGGGTGAAGAGAGGGGCTGAGCTGTCAACTGATCACCACCGGATAGACCTGGCAGACCCAAATGTATTGTGAGAGTCTGTTGGGAACGTCTGGCGGAATCCCCGGTGAGGGGGGCCTTCAACTCCCACCTCCGGGAGAGCTTTGAACAGGTCCCGAGGGAGGCTGGAGACATCGAGTCTGAGTGGACCATGTTCTCCACTTCCATTGTTGGTGCGGCTGTCCGAAGCTGCGGAAGGTAAGGGAAGTCGTCTTAAGAAGCTTAAGGAGTCCTACCGAGCCTGGTTGGTTCGTGGGACTCCTGAGGGAGGCG